CAGGGTGCCTCAGTCAGGTTGAACAATCAACTTCGGCTCAGGTCATGATCTCACAGTTCGTGGGTTTGAGCCCCACATCAGACTCTGCTGACAGCTCAGAGCCTGGAGCCTGTTGCAGATTCTGTATCTTCCTCTTTGTCTCTGCCCCTACCTTGCTTGTACTCTGTCTCTGTCTCTGTATCTCTCTCTCTTTCTCTCTCTCTCTCAAAAACACTAAACAAACTTTTAAAAAATTAAAGTTATAAGGCAGAATCTTAAATAATTCTTAGGTCAAAAAAATATACTTCTATACTATTTTTATAATTTTTTAAATGTTTTTAAAAAAATTTTTTTAATGTTTACTTTTGAGACAGAGAAAGACAGAGCACGAGCTAGGGAGGGGCAGAGAGAGAGGGAGACACAGAATCTGAAACGGGCTCCAGGCTGTCAACACAGAGCCTGATGCAGGGCTCAAACCCACCGACTGCGAGATCATGACCTGAGCCAAAGTTGGATGCCTAACCAACTGAGCCACCCAGGCACCCCTAATGTTTATTTGTTTTTGAGAGAGGAAGAGAGACAAACCACAAGCAGGGGAGGAGCAGAGATGGAGACACAGAATCCCAAGAAGGTGCCAGGCTCTGAGCTGTCAGCACAGAGCCTGATGTGGGGGGCTGGAACTCATGAACTGTGAGATCATGACCTGAGCCAGAGTCAGACACTTAACTGACTGAGCCTCCGAGGCACCCCTATGCTACTTTTAAAATGAAAATGAGAAAACTTAGAACATATGACACAATCAGAACTATATTCAGAAGAATACTTTTATCCTTAGGCTTTTAATTATTAAGAGAAAATAAAAATAAACTGTTCAAGAAGTTAGACAACAAAATAAGCATCAATTTTGTAATATTTTTAGTCAAGGATTGCTATCCTTAAATAATGTTTTGAGAATCCTGCTTTCCCATAGGAAAGGGAATGTTGCAAGGGAATATTCCTCCCACATTAACAAAAATCAAGGGAAAAAAAAAAAAGACTAGATCATCTAGTTGAGCCTATCAAGGCAACAGGTAAACTGAATTCAAAAGGGTGGCAAGCCCCTCTGAGAAGGTGTGAATCATTCAAACTGGTTCACCTTTGGCAGAACACTGGGGGATGGGGGGGTGAAAACCAGTAGCCAAAAGAGTGGGTAACAAAACAACGGATACTTTGACAAACTCTTAAAAGCTCAATGTGTGTGAAAATAACAGTACAAATTCTGGGAGTCCCACACACAAGGGAAACCACCTCCACTAATGAACTTTTTTTTATATAGACCTCAAGCAGCACTCCTGAGAAAGACTGGGGGCGGGGCTAGAGACCTAATGGAGCCTCTTCAGTGGGACAGGTATACAAATGGGGAGTGGCTACCTCTGGAGCACAAGCACAGAACCCAGAACCTTAGGTTTTAAAAACCATATGTCAAGGTTAACATCACTGGTACTGAGACAAACTAGCACTGTATGCCCCTGAAATGATGTACTACGGTCACATTATTACCTACGTAGTATTTCAGCCCAAAAACCCTAACTCAAATTTAATTATATGGAAAGAAACAACTTTAGAGACATTCTTCTAAACATGTGTCACGGACCCTTCAGACCTGTCAGAGTCATGAAAGGAAAAAGAAAGGCTGGGAAACTGTTCTAGATTAAAGGCCACTAGAGGAATAATGCAATTAAATACAACCGATGATCTTTGATTGTGCCCAGCAGTGGATCAAATAAACACATTTTTGTGAAATGTGTCAGAGACAAGGAAAGAATCGAACTTCTAGAATGGGAAAAACAATGATCGTGTTTACGCCAATCAGGAACCAGAGTGAGCTTCTCAGCACACTTACAAGCCAGAAGGCAATGGAGCAATGCCATCAAAATTCAGAAGGAAAACATTTCCAATATAGAATTCTAACCCCTGCCAAGTCATCAGTTAAGCATGAAGGTAAAATAAAGAAATTTTCATACATACAAGATCGCCAAAATTTATCCTTTCTCAAGAAGCCATTGAAGATGCTTTCTACCCAGGTAGGGAAATAAAGAATGAAAAATACCCATAAAACTAGAAAGCAAGAAAAAAAGCAGGAGATAATCAGTTTCTAGGATAATGGTGCAGGGAGTTGCCGGGGTCCCAGCTGTCCTGGAGGGCTAACGTGATGGAATCTAGTGACTCAAGTAATAGGCATGGAGAAACTCCGCAGCCTCTGCACACTCTTTTTAACCTTATAACATGTCAGATGATGTGTTCTACCAAAAAGGAAGAAACCAAGAAAAAGAGACCAGCGATCCAAGAAGCAGGAATTCCAACCCAAGAGAAAGGCAGAGAGTTTCAGCCATGACAACAAATAGACATTTCAGGATGATAATTGTGTAGCAGGCCTGGTGAGGAAGAGAGAAAAGGAGTGTCTGATAAGAAGGATTCCAAGAAGAAAAAAAAATTGCAATAGCTACATTACGTTACAAAATGAAACTTATGGAAATTGAACTGAGGGACCATTTAAAGGAAGAATTAGCTACAGGACTATGAAAATTAAGGCCGTTATTAACTTAAAGAAAATGAAGATAATGATATTCAAAATATACTATAACATTCAGCTGAGAATATTTTCATTTCATAATAATGTAAACACTAAATACAGATCTAAACCGAAATTACAAAATTATGGTATTAAGTATGGGAAAGGAGAAACTATCTAATGGGAACCTGATAGTGTCGGAAATCACTGAATCAACAAATAGCCTTACATACTTGCTATTTAGAATTCTGGAATTAAGTAAATGCCAGAAGAAACAGCAAATAGATTCTAAAGTGCTTCCCTCTAGAAGGAGGAGTGAGGATGGGTGCACAGGAAACAATGTTTTTGTTAGCCCTCTAGTTCTGTTTGACTGTCCATCCTATGTGCATTGTTTTGAGAAGATTTATTTTCTTTAATCAATGATTTATCAGGTCTTAGTAAAGTTCTGTGAAATGTAATTTCACTGGTAGAATCTTATTTTGTTATATGAGAGCATTCCAACAAATCTGAGACAAATTATAGAATTATCCTGAGAAATATTAAAGTGATATTGCCTAGAGGAATCACTGAATTATGGGTTTTGCTCAGAGACGGCTCCTTGGAAGAAGTGGATCATATGCTGGGATGATGTATGTTACCAAGAAAAAGGCCTCAACAAAATCCTCTGAGGGGAGAATGTGAAAATTAAACCAAGAGTTTGATTTCCCAAGGCTATTGCTCCACCTCTTTCTTAAGTGTTCCACCAAGAATGGCTATTCCTACACATCCCCAGAGCTTCCTTGGCCTCCTCTGGATGAGACTGGCATAGGCAGGAAAGGTATTTTTTTCTTAGGTTGATAGATTTATAGTCCAAGCAGGAACATTTGCTCAAAATTATCTGAAATGTATCATATATCCACTAGTTCATCAATTCAAAACATATTTACTGATACCTAGCCTGTGTCAGACCAGTGCTAGGCACCAGGGATAGGATAATAAAAATGACAAAGGTCTGTGGCCAAAGGGCAACAGTTTGGGAATTAGGATTTCTCGTGGCAACTAACAGCACTGTCATCTGCATCTACCAAACCCTACTATCCTGAGCATCTTAAAGTGCCAAATGTATCCTCAGTCTGGGAATGTGAACCCCAGCAGATGTGCAGGCCAGAAAACACAAGAAGTCTACTTACATCTGCGTGATAAGGTAGAGTGGGTACATAAAAGACAAACTGATGTTCCCGACAGGAAAAGTAAAATTTGTTTGTGAGGAAATAAGGCTAAAATAAAAGAGGCAGCATTTAATCTAAAGCATTTCCTATGACTTGGATTTCTTTTTTAAAAAATTGGCTGCCTTATCATTTTCTTAGTCACCTTTTCTCTAGGCTTATTGGGGGCGTAGTCCCTCCCAGCAACCTCCATCTGCTTGGAAAACAGAATCAAGAGAATGAAAAGCCATGATGACACATCCTCCACTGGATGGGAATATTAGGAGAAAATCAATAAATGTACTACCATATGCACAAAACCTATGAATGTCCCCTTCAGACTAATGCAGCACGTTTCACACCGCGGAGAGAGCAGCTGTGAACCGCGGCTTCAAGTAATGACGAGTATTTGAAACATCTGCACATCACTGCTCCTCCTCATTGCCAAGCAACATCATTACTTTAATTCTCTCCAAGTAAATACTCTCATTGTTGGCCAGAGGAAGATATATCTTTATCAAAGATTTCATCTCTTGGGCTCCTTTTTGCCCAAAACGTGATTGGGTTTCTCGTGTTGTTTTTTTCATTCTAGTGCACGAAACTTTTTTTTAATCAAAACTAGCGTCTTTTTTTTTAATGTTTTTTTTTTTTTCTAGGAGAGAGAGAGAGAGAGACAGCGTGAGCAGGCGAGGGTCAGAGAGAGAGGGAGTCACAGACTGAAACAGGCTCCAGGCTCTGAGCCGGCAGTCAGCACAGAGCCCGACGCGGGGCTCGAACCCACGAACCGCGAGATCATGACCTAAGCGAAAGTCGGACGCTTAACCGACTAAGCCACCCAGGCGCCCCTTTTTTTTCTTTTTTCTTCCCTACTAGCAGGGAACCGTTTTTGAGAGGTAACAGTCTCGGTCAGGACCTTCCTCTCTGGTGTGTTAGTCCCGATTATCACGCGCTTTTGCAAAGGCCAGACAGAGCGACCTTCAGCCCTGTTGTGCTCTTCCCGTAAATTAAACAGCGACCCGGAGAGGCGCCCAGAGCTCAGTGGCCCCCGCGCTCCCGCGCTGCGGGAGCCGCCGCAGGGAGAGTAGGGCACCTCTGGGACTGGGAGGAGAGCCACGGAGAAGGTGGAGAATAAGAATCATGTGTGTTCCTCGAGTGTACAACCCACATTTGAGTGACAAATGACGAGGACAACCTATAAAAACAACTAAGCGCGAGTCTGCCCGAATCCATTTCCCTCTCTGTGCGTGTGCGTCTTCAACTAACTTTGGAGCTCGGAGACCCGGCGTGGCGCCCCTCGCAGCCTCGCCTGCACCTGCGTTTCCCGCGCCCCGCCGGCCCGCTTCCGTACCTCCGCCTCCCCCAGGCTGAGGATGGAGGACCCCTTCAGCCCCTCAGCTTTCTCGCTGGCGCCCAACGTCTCCGTACCCGTCTCTCCTGGCTGGGGTCTCAACTTCACTTCCGAACAGGGAGCCTCAGCCCCGGGGCCGCCGCCGCCGCCGCCGCCGCCGCCGCCTCCCGGACAGCCTAGCCGCCGCGTCCGCCTGGTCTTCCTGGGGGTCATCCTGGTGGTGGCGGTGGCCGGCAACACCACCGTGCTGTGCCGCCTGTGCGGGGGCGCCGGGCCCTGGGCGGGTCCCAAGCGCCGCAAGATGGACTTCCTGCTCGTGCAGCTGGCCCTGGCTGACCTGTACGCGTGCGGGGGCACCGCGCTGCCGCAGCTGGCCTGGGAGCTGCTGGGCGAGCCGCGCCGGGCGGCCGGAGACCTGTCGTGCCGCTTCGTGCGGCTGCTGCAGGCGTCCGGCCGAGGCGCCTCGGCCCACCTCGCGGTGCTCATTGCCCTCGAACGCCAGCGCACCGTGCGCCGGCCGCAGGGCCCGCCTCTGCCAGCGCGCGCCCTCGCCGCCCTGGGCTGGCTGCTGGCGCTGCTGCTGGCGCTGCCCCCCGCCCTCGTGGTGCGCGGGGGCGCCCCCTCGCCGCCACCCTCCGCGCCCCCGGCCGCGCGCGCTTGGCCGGGGGAGCGTCGCTGCCGCGACATCTTCGCGCCTCTGCCGCGCTGGCACCTGCAGGTCTATGCGCTTTACGAGGCCGTCGCGGGCTTCGTGGCGCCGGCCGCGATCATGGGCGTCGCTTGCAGCCGCCTGCTCTGCGCCTGGTGGCAGCGCCCACCGCAGGCCGCACCGACTTCAGCGCCCTGGGGGGCGAGTCCCGGCCCAGCCCCTGCGCCCGGCGCCCTGCCACGCGCCAAGGTACAGAGTCTGAAGATGAGCCTGGCGCTGGCGCTGCTGTTCGTGAGCTGCGAGCTGCCCTACTTCGCTGCGCGGCTGGCGGCCGCGTGGTCGTCAGGACAGGTGGGAGACTGGGAGGCCGAGGATGTGGCGGCGGCGCTGCACCTCGTGGGAGTGGCCAACAGCGCTCTCAATCCCTTCGTTTACCTCTTCTTCCAGGCAGGAGACTGCCAGCTCCTGCGGCGGCTGCGAAGGCGCCTGGGCGCCGTCTGCTGCTCGTGGGAGGGAACAGCGGAGGACGATGAGGGGGCCGGGGGCCACCAAGCGCTTCACCGCCACCGCTGGCCACACCCCCATTATCACCACGCCAGAAGGGAGCAGCCAGGGGAGGGCTGCTGGCGCCCACCCCCGCCTCGCCCCCGGCCGCCTCCCTGCTCCTGCGAAAGCGCTTTCTAGCGGCTCGAGGGCCAGTCAGGTCACCATCGCCGCCGCACGGCCACCGCCGAACACGGCGAGGCTGGCCCTGGTCTATCCACGTCACAGCGGGCGCAGGAGTCTCAGAGAGTGAGAAGCTGTCCCCTTCCTACACGCTGTTTCTTTCTAATGTTTACATTTTCCTACACTTTTCCAATTTCTTCTCTCCCTTTCAGTTCCTCTCACATTTTCCAGTTTGGAGATGAGAGTTTGAGCCACTGGAAATTCTAAAAACTGTGAAAGATACACAGAGTTATTTTTGCATTTCTCTTTGATGCTCCCATAGTGTTCTGGATAAGATCATTTGTTTTAGCCAAATTGCCAAGCTTTCATTATTTGCTGTATTATCATCTGTTTTTACTTATTTTGAATCGTGTTTAAATCAAGTGTACCTTCGAGACCAGAGAATTTGCCTTTCCTTCCAGGAGGAAAATCCCCACATTGCTCTCCCTGAGGAGCCTGGAAATTGTACCAGCGATACTGTCAGAAATATAATCATGCTGTCACTTCAGAGCCACAGAGTATTTGTCAAATAAAAACATTTCCCACAGAGCAATTAGTACTTTTTGTTACATGATAATGTGTTTTCTCAGAAAATCAGCGAAGCCTTTATTTCCAGTCTTCCCTTCCATGGAAGCTGGGGTTGTAGGAGGGGCACAAAAAAGCTTCCCTTTGTCCCTTTCAAATATGCTCAGTTTCTGTAGGAAATTGTGCCCTTGCCCAGACAAGCCTCTACAGCTGAGATGCTGGGCTCAGATGGAGCCTCTCAGCACAGAGTCCCCAGCAAACTAGCCAAGAGAAACACCAAGGCGGTGCGTTTGGGAGGGGCTCACTGTCCCGCATGGAGCTGCAACCACTCTAGGTTACATGCATGAATAAAACTCCCTTTTAAAAAATGAAGGAAGGCAATGCCTATTGGTGTGGGTTGCTGGGAACAAAGTAAAGCAGCAGATTTAATCAGTGACCTCCTCCTTTTAACTGTCCTTGGTCCTAGAGAGAAGTGGCAGCACTTATGAACAATATATCCGTGTGTTTACCAGTGACTTTCATCTGAGAATCGGCATGCTTTCCATGATAGTGTTTCCTGTTTACGCAGTGTCAAATTAGGATGCAGAAAAGGGAAATGATTGCTGGAGTTCACTTGTAGAGCCAATGCTCTCTGAGGGCTTTGTTTACTTCACCTATGTATCCCAATGTTTGATGTGTACTAGGCACTCAACACATATTTGTTGAAGGTTTCATAATATGAGTCAGGCAAAGATAGAATGGATACAAGATGTACAAAAATGTTCGTTAGGCTTGATTTACCTTCCTCCAAAATTTTGTCAAAAAATGTTACAGTTACAGGCTTTCCTTCATCCTTTTAATCATCCCCACCCTGCTTAGGATACTACGGTGTGTAATATACCAAGAATAAGCCAGCCAAAGAGAGAACACAGTTGTCTTCATGATACTTTTATTCATTAGCATTCTTTTTGTTTTAAATGTTTTATTTATTTCTGAGAGAGAGAGAGAGGCAGAGAGAAAGAGACAGTGTGAGCAGGGGAGGGTCAGAGAGAGAGGGAGATACAGAATTTGAAACAGGTTCCAGGCTCTGAGCTGGCTGTCAGCATAGAGCCCGATGCAGGGCTTGAACCGTGAGATCATGACCTGAGCTGAAGTCGGATGCTTACCCAACTGATCCACCCAGGGGGCCCTATTTTTCTTCATTAATAAACATGAATTCCTTATTTTGTGCTAAGCAATGTGTTAGACGTTGAACATGCTAAGATGGATGACACACATCTTTCCCTCAAAGACCTTATAATCATATGTAGGAGACAATCTGAAAATTACCACACAGTATCACACATATTTTAATAAGGGCTCAAGCCATGGTGTCATGTCACTAGAAAAGAACATCTGACCATCTCAGGAGACTCAAGCCATCATTCCAACGATGGTATGAAGGATCAATTAATGGCAACTGGGGAATGCATAAAGGGAGGGATCAGACAGAAGCTCAGAGAAACCTCAAAATATGACCCTGTATGTTATATAGCTTTGAATGCTCACAACTGAGATAATTTAAGCCAGCTGCGTCACCTTTTCTGTCATCTGAAGTTTGAGAGCACCCTAACAGAAAAATGAATTCAGCTGGTTTAAATCTGCTATCTCACATAACAAGAGTCCGGTGTAGGGATGCTCCAGAGTTGGTTAGTTGAGTAGCTTCATAACTTCACAATCGAAGATCTAGCTCCTTTTCAGTCTTCTATTCTGCCATCCTGAGCTGGTAGACTTGACATTAAGGTTGGTACCCCTTGAGGTCACAGAATGACCACTGTGTTTCCATCACACTCAAATATGTCAATGTCCAGAAAAGTAGAATTTCTCTTTTTATTTTTCACTTTATAGGAATGAAGAAACATTTCTCAGAAGTCCCAAGTAGATGTCCCTGCATGGTTTATTGGCCAGAACTGTATCTTATATCCATATCTAGACCATTGCAAGGGAAATGGGGCCACCATAATGGCTTAGACCGGGAGCTAAAGATACAAGTTGCACAGGAGAGGGATGAAAAAAATGAGACTCCCATTTTTTTCTTTTAAGAAGAAAAAATAAGGGGAAATGTGTAGGGGAGGGCAAGACTAAACTTTTATACAATTGCCAAACTGTTAAAGAGATGATCTTTATACTCTATTAGAGCTTTTCATCTGTGCCATCTAGAAATTATGAGAAATCTCCATCTGGGTCAAAAAAACAGAATACATATTCATGTAATTTGAAATTAAACTGTATTTTCCCTAGATTTTGTGGAAGATTTGGTTAAGCCCAATTCGTACTGAAATACTTCTATAGCTAAGGAGCTTTCTCTAATCTTAATTAAATCTGACACTTGAAGGTAGATCTAAGCGATTTGGTTCCCATCTCTAGTGGCATTGGTAGGTTAAGAAATTTGAAGCATTCCCTTAGAATGATCAGCATTGATCTCAGGAGCCTGGACTGCTATAGACAACTCAGAGGTGGAGTTCTTCCCCACTGAGGAAGTCCCAGAGGTTATTCTAAATTTATATTCTCAACTGAGTGGGACATACCATTTGAACTTCACAGCAACGGTAAATGAGCAGTTGACCCTGAACTTGATCTCTTTTCTAGGTATCACTCAAATACGATATGACCAGAAGAGAAATTAAACCACACACTGGAGTTTGGGAGGAATCAAACTGCATCCCCTCACCCACTGTACATTGCCCCCTTGGAGTTCGATTTTAACAAAGCTGCCACACTCAGGCCTAGACTGCAGGACTCCAGGAGGCACTATTCATATAGACGGCAATGTAAATGTCACTACCTGAACTTTAAAGCTTAAATACAAAGAATTCTATATTTAAAAAAAAAATAGCCGCATGGCAACATACAGCTAAAATAAGTAAACATGACCTATTACATAATTTGAAGCAGAGAATATGTAGAAAACAGTCAAGAGTGTAACTAAAACTACAATTAGTGACTAGTTATAACTCATTTACTAAAAATAGAATAGTCTAGCTCATTTGTGTTAAGTGGAGGTAGACTTTTTTCTAAGCCACTTCCTAGGAAACACAAAAGAGAGGAGAAAATTGGAGGAGTTTCCCTCTCATTCCTAAAATGTTCTGATTGATCAAAGGAAAGATATTACAAAGAAAATGAGGTCTAATTAAATTAAACAAATGTTTTGCTGAGATGCGAGGCGGTATAATCAAAAGAGTAGTCTTGAGAGCCTACAGACCTGGACTTGAATTTCATCTCTACCGCTTAGTAGCTGTGTGGCTTTGGGCTATTTGAGGAAATCTTTCTGAGTCTTGGTTTTCTTATCAATAGAAATGGGGTTTATATTATCTACTTCATAGGATTAATATATGTAAAGTACTTGGGGTGGGGGTGGGGGGGTCCTGTCAGCCTGTCTCTTCAGATTTACCCTAGTACTAACTATATGATAGTGTTATTTTCTGACTCTGGGCTGTGAGGGATAAAATCCAGTAATACTACATGAAGGGAAGCAAAGGGATCTGGGGGAATCAATCTATGGAAGATTAATGCAACAATGGTGGCACATAGTAACAGGAAGATTAATGCAACAATGGTGGCACGTAGTAACAGGGAAATAACAGGGGCCTTACAGAACGTATAGTGTGCACAGTAATTCTTGACTCCTTTACTGGAGAAACTTTTCTAACAGGACTCAGATTCTTCTATCTAAGGCCTCTTATGAACAGTCAAGTGCTTTGAGAGAAGCTGGACCCTCTCCCATTCTAAATAAGTCTAAGCACATCAAAGAAATTCTACTCCCCTTACCACCAAGGCCTGTTCAGGAAGGGTCGTGCGATCCATTTAAGACCAATGAGATGTGTTGCAAGGCAGGGGGAGTTGTTAGGGTTCTAGGAAGGACATTCTTAACTCTCCTGAGAGAGCCTTGAGAGCCAATATGCTCTCTCCATCTCTCTCCCAGTGAAGGTAAATGAGGGAACATGTAGTGCTACTGCCCGCTGGTAGCCCACCTATGACCATGAGAGACAACAGTCGTAAGATGAATGCAATGCTGTGGACATGGCAGACTGGAGAGATGAAAGAACTTAGGTCCTTAATGACCTCACTGAGCTGTCAGGTCAAACATCAGAGGCATGTTTATTGGATGTCCTGCCAAATGAGATACATTTTCTTATTGCTTAAGGTTAAATTAAGCTGGATTTTGTTTTTGTAGCAGCAAGCATGCTCTAATTGAAGAAGTTTGGCAAGAAAGAGGAAGTCTCAATTTAGCTTACTGCATGTTCTTTATTAAAAAAAAATAAGAACAGTCCAAGTATACTTTTATTTAGTCCATCAGCCAATAAGTAGTGAAGAACTGTATTGGACACTATATTGAGCATAGTGGGGCAAGGGAAGAAAATCAAAGATGTAACTCTTGCTCTTAAAATTTTTATATTCTGTGAAGAATTATGACTTTCATGGTAAGTACTTTGTTGACAAATCTCAACCTAAAATTATTAATGTTATAGGACTTTATAAATTCCTACCATTGGTGACATTATTCATTCATTCACTCATTAGATATTTATTATAGATCCATCTTGTGCCAAGTTTGTATGAACTTTTACACCTATATATCTATCTATATAGATAAACTGCATATGACTTATCATAGACATACATTCCAGTTAAAATTTAGCTTTTCGGTGGGAACTTAGGGCCAACTATTACTGTATTTGCTATGGCCAAATGAGGCATCAACAACCACTAAATGGGCTAGAGTAGCTTATTATATAATGGCTTCCAGTGAGTCACTCCTCTTTATATTCACCCCTTGTGTAATCTTTTCTCACAAAGAGTCTGGGCTTGGTCATGTGACCTACTCTGGCAGTGGATATCAGAAGATCATTCACAAGCAGGGTCTTGACAAGCTCATACACATGGGTCCTGCCCTCTCAGAAAAGCTGCCCAAATATCACAACGCCATGAAGAACCCAAGAATGAAAGAGCATAATGGAGAGGGAAGCCCAGCTACTCAGCGATTGCCACCAAGCCCAGTTCCCAGCTGAC